CAGGGGCAAATGCTGTACCCAGTGAGCCACACCGGCGGCCAGAGCCTCTGTGCCTTTTTATTGATGAATTCAGACCATCATTGATTATTAATGTATGAGGATTTTCTTTTTTTTTTTTTTTTTTTTTAAATATGTCTTTATTGATTTCAGAGAGAGGAAAGGCGAGGAAGAGAGAGATAGAAACATCAATGATGAGAGAGTCATTGATCAAGCCCGCAACCCGGGCATGTGCCCTGACTGGGAATTGAACCCTGATCGCCTGGATCCTAGGTTGACGCTCAACCACTGAGCCACGCCTGGCCGGGCAATGTATGAGGATTTTCTACAGCCATTTTAAACCTTGTGTTTTCTGGTAGCTCTGTGTCTCTATTTTTTTTTTTCCCCTTTGTGCTTCTGTTTGTTATTTTAGTTCGGTGGTATTCTATAATTTTTTCCTGTTTCCTGTTTTTTATGTTAGATTTTTATTGTTGTTGTTACCATTAGGTTTATGTAAAAAAAAAAAAAAAAAAGATATACACAGCAGTGATTTTGCTTCTGGCTGCATCTTATCTCCACTGCCCTGTGCAAATTCAGGCCTTTACCCCCTCCTCTTTTATGTGTTTTTGTTGTCACAAATTATCTTTTTATGCTGAGTCCATTTCCAAACTGCAGTAGCTATATCTTCTCTCTTTAAAAATGTTTTTACCTCTTTTAATCTTTATGTTATATTTAAGTGTATAATATCCTATTCTAAATAAGGACTGCAATTTCCTGTTTCTGTCTGTCATGAGTCATCTTAGACATGTCTGTTTCAGGTAACCTCCTTCAGTATTTCCTGTAATGCAAGCCTTGTGGTGGTAAATTCCATCAGCTTCTATGTCTGAAAAAGTCTTTATTTCTCCTTCATTTCTGAAGGACAATTTTGTTGGATATATTATTCTTGCCTGGCAATTTCTCTCTTTTGATAGTTTAATATTTGATTCCACTCTCTCCTAGCTTGTAGGGTTTTTGCTGAAAAAATTCGATAATTTAATGGGATTTCTTTTACAGGTTACTCTTTTCTTTTCCATGGCTGCCATAAGAATTCTTTGTAATTAATTTTTGACAGTTTTAATATAATATGCCTTACAGAAGGTCTTTTTGGGTTGAGATAATTAGTGTTCTGCTAGCTTATTGGATTTGAGGATCCAGATCTTTCCATTAGCTTTGGGTCGTTCTCAATGACTATTTGTTTGAATAGGCTCGCTGTTTCCTTCTCCCTCTCTTCTCCTTTTGGCATACCCACTATTCTCATATTGTTCTTTCTGATGGAGTCAGTTCTCATAGAGTTCTTCCTTTCTCTCTTTCTTTCTTTCTTTTCTTACTCTCAAATCTCTTTTTTCTTCCATCTGTGTAATTTCTAGGTTTCTATCTTTGATGTTACTATTGTTTCCTCCATCTAGTCAGCTCTTTTTCTTAAACTCACTAGTTCACTCTTCATTGCTTTCATTGAGCTCTTCAGCTCCAGAAATTCTATTTGGTTCTTTTTTAAAGTTTCAATCTCTTTGGTAAAGTACTCCTTTTGTTCACAGATTTTACTTTGGAGTTCATTAAACTGCCTGAATTTTCTTGTATCTTGTTGAGTATTTTCAGAACTGTGATCCTGAATTCTCTGTCATTTGAGTCACATATATCCCTGTCTTTATTTTCTGGAGATTTTTCATTTTCTTTCTGAGCTGCCTTGTTACCTTGGTTATTCATGGTATTTGATGGGATATGTCTCTGACTAGACATTTATGGGAATGAAATCTGCCTTTTTAAAGTGTTTGGCACTTCTTCCTTTAGCAGGTTGATAGGAAGAGGTCTTTCTTTTGCTTTTGTTTTCCAGTAGGTGGCAATGATGTATGTTTTTATTTTCTCTTGAGCTTCTTGGGCTTTTCGGATCTCTGCAGGGCAGTGGAAAATGCCCAGTATTCCCTGCGGAGGCGGGTATCCCCTGTCACCAGGTCACCTTGGTCTCAGGGCACCACTCTCGTGGGATAAATGTGATGGGCAATGATGTTGCAAGCCGGTGAAATCACAGCGCTGCATCCTGCAACTAGATGCTGCTGGCAGCACTGTACTGTCTGAGCTATCCCAGGTGCCTCTGCTATACTCAGCTGTGATGGGTCAGGGTGGGATGGGATGAGAGAAGCCAATTTGTGCATGTATGGCTTTGTTCTCCTCCCACTAATAGCAGCTGCCAGACCTCTGCTGCTGGACCTCTGTATTTCCACATATCACTGGGATTAGCTGCAGTGTGTCCTGCTGCTCAGGGGGGAATGTTTCTGCTTCTCCAGATCTCAGGGCTGCAGATGCTGTGCTCTGTAACCCAACAAGCAATGCTACAACTTCTGCCGAGGGCAGCTGCAAGAGGAAGGTGAGGCAAGGCAGTGAGGCTCTGTGGCTTTGTTTAGTGCCTGGTAATGGCAGCTGCTTATCCACAGCTGCTCCACCTGTGTTCTGTCTCTGGCATTACTGGGTTTAGCTGTGGTATGTGCTGACCACTCAGGCAGGAATGTTGATTCTACCCCTCTACTCCTCTGGACTGTAGAGTGTGCCCACTGTAACAACTCCTCTCCAGCTCCTGAGTCCCCGTAGTGAGGTCCAGGCTGCATCTGTGACCCCAATCTCTGTTCTTCCCCTTTACCTCCTCTTGTTCGCTGACTCACTCACCTTCAGATGCGTCAATGTGTGGATCTCTCAGACTGCCTGTGTGTTAAGCAGAGAATCCTCTGTTGAGTTATAGCTGTTCAACTTCTAACTTCAAGGGGAGACCAGGAGGACCTCCGATGAGGCCATGCTGCTGACATCACCTTCCATACACTCTTTATATATTAAGAATATTAACCCTTTGTCATATTTGTTGCAAATATTTTTCAAGTTATTTCCTGTTCACTTTGAAGTCATTAAATCTGTAAAATTTTCCCTTTTTGTTTATTCATTGCTTCAAAATTTAGATATTTCTCATCAACGTATTCGACACATATATTCTTGAATTGTCTTCTAAACTTTATGATTTAATTTTTAAAATATTAATGCTTTAATTCATATGAACTGCTCCCTCTATCAAATTATAAATTTTTCCAGCATTATATGCAGAATAATGATCTCTTTCCTCACTGATAATTGATAAGAACTTTACCTAGCTATACTTCTAGGTTAAGATACCAGCCTTCTAGCAGGACCTGGAAGCCTTCCCTTACGTAATCTTGCAATTACTTCTATAAAGTATGGATGTACTCCCCTCTACCTCTGACTTTGGACTTGACCGTGTTACTTGCTTTGATTAATGTCCTTGTGGCTAGAAGTAATCCTATGCCAGTCCTGATCTAGGCCTCAATATATTATGGGTTCCTGTTTGCCTTCTTGAGCCTGTGAATAGCCGCTCTCTCCTTCGGCCAGGGCCCCAAAAGAAACACACATGGAATGGTGCTGTCCCAACCGCCCTACAGATGTGATGTGCAGTGCAGCGTCAGCAGTCGGCCCTGCAGATGTGCAGTGCAGCGTCAGCAGTCGGCCCTGCAGATGTGCAGTGCAGCGTCAGCAGTCGGCCCTGCAGATGTGCAGTGCAGTGTCAGCAGTCGGCCCTGCAGATGTGCAGTGCAGTGTCAGCAGTCGGCCCTGCAGATGTGCAGTGCAGTGTCAGCAGTCGGCCCTGCAGATGTGCAGTGCAGTGTCAGCAGTCGGCCCTGCAGATGTGCAGTGCAGTGTCAGCAGTCGGCCCTGCAGATGTGCAGTGCAGTGTCAGCAGTCGGCCCTGCAGATGTGCAGTGCAGTGTCAGCAGTCGGCCCTGCAGATGTGCAGTGCAGTGTCAGCAGTCGGCCCTGCAGATGTGCAGTGCAGTGTCAGCAGTCGGCCCTGCAGATGTGCAGTGCAGCGTCAGCAGTCGGCCCTGCAGATGTGCAGTGCAGTGTCAGCAGTCGGCCCTGCAGATGTGCAGTGCAGCGTCAGCAGTCGGCCCTGCAGATGTGCAGTGCAGTGTCAGCAGTCGGCCCTGCAGATGTGCAGTGCAGCGTCAGCAGTCGGCCCTGCAGATGTGCAGTGCAGTGTCAGCAGTCGGCCCTGCAGATGTGCAGTGCAGCGTCAGCAGTCGGCCCTGCAGATGTGCAGTGCAGTGTCAGCAGTCGGCCCTGCAGATGTGCAGTGCAGCGTCAGCAGTCGGCCCTGCAGATGTGCAGTGCAGTGTCAGCAGTCGGCCCTGCAGATGTGCAGTGCAGCGTCAGCAGTCGGCCCTGCAGATGTGCAGTGCAGTGTCAGCAGTCGGCCCTGCAGATGTGCAGTGCAGTGTCAGCAGTCGGCCCTGCAGATGTGCAGTGCAGTGTCAGCAGTCGGCCCTGCAGATGTGCAGTGCAGTGTCAGCAGTCCAGCCAGCCAGGGCAGGATGAAGCAGAGCTGCCCCACTGCACTCAGATCAGTTTGCCTCCCAACCAACTTGGAGATGTGTATGAAATAAATTCTTATTGTTGATTGCCACTGAGAATTTAGGGTTACTGGAATAATTTGGGGGAAGAGGGAATGGAATGTCACAAACAACAGAAGGAAGAAAAAGGAAAAGAGGCATAGGCATTACAGAGACCTACATGGAGAGGTGGAGATAGCCAGATAGGAAATAATTACTTGGGATCAAAAAGAGAAATAAGCATCCAGTGGTTAAAAAATGCCATCACCAAAAACCAAAACTCTTTTAAACTCAAACACATACTAGCATTTATAAACTCTCATGGCAGAAATTCATGTGAGTGCTTTACAGCCAGACTTCAAGCTGAATTTAAACACAGGCCACTCACCCCAAGCAGTAAATAGGAAAAAATATATTTTTTTAAATTTATCTCCAGCCCCCCAAAAGCATCTTCACTGGAAAATCTATATTCAGTTTGAGTTTTCTTAAATATACGTTTTAAATATTTTCTTCATTTATTTAACTACACACACAAAATAGACTTACACTCCAAAATTTTGTGCAAAGCAGAAAAACCAGGTATTCATCTTAATTTCTCACCTCCTATTGAAATCCACTTGGATGGAATGATCAATTACAAGATCAGCAGGACAGACTGGGTTTATTTTCTCTGGATCTCCTCCTAACTTTTTCACAGCATCACGCATTGCAGCAAAGTCTACCACGGCTGGCACACCCCTAAGAAAAGAAAGAATTAAGCAGAAGATTAATCTATCAAACACGTGTAGTTTTTCAGCTTTTGTTCCCACTGACAAAATTGGTAATGAAACTCTCTCATTAGTGGAGCTAACAATGAATGACTTAGAAAAGTGAAAGTTTCTGAACACATTTCCTTGAGCAGAAATCACATAAGTAGTAAGTGCCATGACTGAGTGGTATCTCTATATGCAATTTTATCACTGCATTAAAGTTAACAACCAATATGGTCTAAATAGAGAAATTATGGGAAAGCCGGTGCTTAAAATCTCAGGAATTTTTACTGCCATGACTGTTTCCCATTCATATGGAGGCTGACAAAGACCTGGAGAAGACACAGGAACACATATTCCACTTCAGACCAAACTTAAAGGAATGGGTAGACTGGGAATCAAATTTATAAGTGAATCCTTCCTTTTTATTATATTAGAGTATAAAGTTTGGGTGTCTTCCTCTAGAAAAGTAAAATTTGGTCTCTAGGAGGAATAAATTAACGTCATTTAAAAATGGAATAGTAGTGAGTGCTATCTCGAAAAAGAGGTCAGATGAGGAGGATTCCGGGAGTAGCAGGATGTGAACTGAGGCTTAACAGCCACAGGTCAGGCCCTATGAACTCCGTATCACCCCTCAGGGGACTGCACATCAGTGTTCAAGTACAGCTGTTGGAAACCCATTTCCCTGAGTGACAGGACGTGGGGGGAAAAGATTTCAAGATAACTTCACTCCTACTTCTTTCACCTTTCGCCAGTGTGTTTAGAACCACAGTCCTCAAGACCAAGACAATGACCTTTGCCACTGGAAGAGGTGGAGTAATTATATATCCCAATTTGCCTGAAACAATCTCTTGCTGTCTAGGGTAAATATATAGCTCCCTTTCATTTTCAAAAGTGTCTGGATATTGGGTGATAAATTATATGGTCACTGAGGTTTTATTTGTGTGGGTTTTTTTTAAAGCTTTCTTTAAAGTCTGACAAGGGAGGCAAAGAGAGCAAAGTGACATGAGGCTCACGTGAAGTCCTGCAGGATGACACGGGCAGGCTTAAATGGCACTTCTATGTTCTTATGCTGCATGACATTCCAATTTAGGATATTTTCAATGTCATTTTTCTTCACCAAAAATTGATCGCAGTTCCGAATGGCTGCCTCCAGGAGAACTCTGATAGAAAATGGTAAGCGTCCTAGGGTAAAGGAGAAAGCGTAACAAAACAAAAATCATAAGACACATTATTATAATACCTCTTTAAAGCCAATATCTGTATAATCTTGATATAAGGCATCAAGACTATTCTTCCAACAGGGAAGGAGGGTAAATGAAAACTGATCTAAGTTTAAAATATGAAGGTAAAGAATGGGTTTAGGAAGCATTCAGTACTGGAAAATAGCCACAGACTAGGTAAAAATAAAATATTAGAGTTAATTCATTCATATAAATGGTTGCCTTGCCTCGGGTTTCCCTTAAGTCATCATGAAAGAAATCAGTGTAGATATTTACTATATTGTATGTTAGCAAGTCACACACATACAGTAATATTTCTTATGAAAACTAGTGTCTAAGAAATGAGAAAATAACTCCTTTTCAATTACTGTAATTAAGACCAATGTATAGTCACATACATCTCTCAAAGGAAATAAAACCCCAAATAGCATACAGTGTGGTAACTGAGATTTTTAGGATAAAACGATGGTAACTCATAAGAAAAACTACTTTGTTCATTTAAAAAGGAAATGTTCCATCCTGATATATAAAAATTATTCACCAATATTATCTGGAAAAGACAAGAGTATAAAGGTAGAAAAGCACATGATTTGGAATAAAAAAGACTTTTTTTGTCCTATTCTGCCACCCACATAGTTGTTATTTGATCATGTCATTGACCCTCTCTGGAGATGCAGCTTCCTCAGGATTTGTTACACTTTATAAACATGACCTCTAAGGCTGTTATTCAGGTTAAATGACATAATACATATGTACAAAACACTCTATGTATTATAAAATGCTATTAAATGCTACATGTATACAATCATTACCTACTTAAAAAAGAACAATGTAAGATGTGTGTGTGTGTGTCTGTAAAGCTTAATCCAAGATCATTCAACTGTTCTCTGCTTCTGCTACTCCCTCTTTCAACTCTCCTAAAAACTAATTACATAGCATAATTATTATGCAATAGAAGATACCAACTGCTGTCAAAGCAATTACATCATAGAGCCATGTACCTACCATATCTTGAATCATCCAATTTATTCAAGTTGAAGAATTTCTTTCCTGGTTGTGCAGGATCCAGAGGCTCAGCGAGGTGTGCAAATGGGTTGCTCATGGTTCCTGATGGTCACGTGTCCCTGAAAAGGAACAAGAACATTTAATTTCTACTCACAAAGCTGGACCTCATTTATTTTGATGAGCGTTTGCCTTCTATAACAATTATGGTATACATTCACTTCAAGAAATCACTCACTAGTTTTTCAGAGGGGAAGGTGGGACATAAATTAATACAAAAATGACATTCTTAGCAATAAAATGGGTTTCTGTGAAGCTACTGTGAAAGCCAGCATTCACCTCTGAAGAGAGCATAAAATCCTAAAATTCTTTTGTCTTCTTTCTACAGTTTTCCAACATTTTCCCACTGATAAGAAGAAAAACTGAAGGATGTGTCTCATGGTAAATCTTGACTATCTGAATAGACCTTTGAGCTGGACTCAAGTCTCATGTGATAGGGAGTAAGAGGTTCATGGCAGGTGATATTATGCAATTGTATGAAACCTGAACTTTGGCAGTTGCTTTCTGTTGTAAGTCTCCACAGCATTTTAAATTAATGATAAACATGTTGGTGAGAAGTCTTCCTGACTCATTTCTGCATCTGACGGCAACAGTGTTTATATCAAGGAATCTTTAAGGTAACACTGTGGTGGCATCAAGGTCCAAACTCCCCAGATAGGTTTGCAGGGGACCCTCTACCCCAGCTCTGGGCAGAACTTCTCGTGTATCTTTTTATAAATTACAAGCTGTGAACAAGGGAGGACACTGTTCTTGGCCTCCACACAGGTAAACAGCGATTTCAAATAATACACAACCTAGAGCAGAACACATGGGGGTGGATGTCAGAGATTTGCTTTCTAGTCCTATCCCCTGGGCAAAAATCAATCCATTCCACAACAGTCTTAATTTTAAGGTAAGAATAGTTTTATTTCCCTAAATAATCCAAGGTTTTTGTGAGTAAATACTTAAGCATTCAACATAATTTTGGGATGAATGCTATGGAATGACCAACATATTACTGTAAAATGAAAAAAAAAAATCCCAAAACATGTACAGGGAACAACTATTTGTAGACATACAAACTTACAAATGGGACTTATCTCCATAGACAGGCCCTTGTCTACATGGACATAAAAGGGACTGGATCCTTTAAGAGGGACAGAGGCCCCCAATCAGGACAGAGAGGAACACTCAGTTTTCACTGTATATCCTTTTGTATGGTTTGCCTTTTTAACTGTGTACACATACAACTTTTTGAAAACTTGTAAAAAGTTGAAAATAAATAGATATTTGTACATCAACTGTGTCTAAAGTCCAGTCCTAGTTAGTTCTGGGAAGAGGCAGCTGGTTGAGAAGCAGCCCCTGCCTTCCTGGGGTTACCAGTGCAGGTGACAAGCCAGACACCTGATGGGGACAAGAGAAACCCAAGGAAAGAGTGAGAGGTGTGCCGGAGCCTCTGCTGGGAATGGCTTTTGTCCCCTGGTCCCAAGTGGTTTTTGCAGGAGCAGCCATGGAGGGAGGGGAGGGATATGTGACTCCATTTGGGCGACTCAACTTCCTTCTTCACAGATTCTGGAACTGAAACTAAGAAAGGCTAGCAAGGGATGCCGGGACACGCTGGAGCTGTGCTTACCAGGGCCTGTACCCTAGAATCTGCATTAGAACTGCCTGAGGATCTCTCCTGTTAAAAATATGTATTTCTGAGTGTCCCAAGACTTGGTAGTCTGTACTACCAAGTAAGGATTGGGGGGGGTAGGGTCACGGCAGGAATCAGTCTTTAATCCCCCAAGTGTCTGCCGGATACTGCGGGGTGCTGGGTGAGGGACTTACATGTAATTGTACCATGAAGAGTGGATGAAAAAAGGAGGGCCACAACCCAAATGCCAGCATGGCTCAGGCAGGGAACCTACACACATGGGCAGAGGGGCCAGGCAGCCTGGCAGTGTGCCCGTCTAAGGGGCAGCAGCCTTCTGGCTCCAGCCAAGGTCTGCAGGTAGGAAGGTTGGCCCAGTGCTGAGGGATCCATTTTTTCAAGCAAGGCTGGTCAACTGGATTTTTACATGCACCCTGTTTGACTGCTGGTCCATAATCTGTGACCTGTGTCCCAACCCGACCTGGCAGATGTGCTGGCCCAGAGGAATGGTAGGGTAACCGGACAGAGAACACTCGGGGAGGAAACTTTGGAAATGGTGGAGGTGAGCAGAGAAAAGGGCAGCTGAGTGAGTGGGGGTCACGGGGGGGAAGAAATGCAGCTGGCCTCCGGGTGTGAAGGAGGCTGTGGCTTCAGTGCTCGAGGAGAGGGCGCGTTTAAGATGAAGTGGAACACAAATGCGAGAGATCTGTTATTCATCCCCCCTAAATGGGAAGCCAATCAGGAGGGATAAAACCTCGGAAACACTATTTAGTGAGAAACAGGCCAGCCTGTCTACAGGAGAGGTTCGCAAATCTGTGGGCTCAGAAATGAGACTGAACCTTTCCACCGACTGGCATTCTGAACATGAAAAATTTAAAAGGCAAACATGCTACTGTCCCTTTGATTTGTCACTGATGGTACTTTTCCACCCCAAGCAGTAGCAACTGAAATGGTAGAACTGTTGTTTTGTTTGCCTGGACAGAAGAATGTCTCCAAAGAGGCTGTGGGTTATGTCAGAGTCCCCGCAGCCAGGGGACATGGGGAAACCCATGCAGGACCAGGCAGGCAGGGTCATTCACATCTCTAAAAAGCCTAAGTCTCTGAATCACCCCTATCGCTGTGTAAGTTCTACAGTGGTCAGTGGCCCCAAGTGTGGCAGAATTCTATGGTCAAACTGTGGTGGGTCAGGTACAGAAGGTCACCAGGGCACAAAGCCCCAGGTGCCTAGCAACTGGCAAAACTGGGCAAACAAGGACCTCACCCCCAGGATGACCTTTCCTCTCCTAGCATAATACTGGTCATCAAATACATCTAGGCCTCAGCTGTGTTTCAGGTCCAGACCCAGAAAAGACCCCATCAACCACAGCCTTGCAAAACCAGACAAGCTGCACCAAGGCTGACCTCAGGACCAGCTGCACTGACTAATGACCCCCTGCCTTGCACTGACCAATGAGTGTAGACCACAACCCTGAAAGGACACACCTGGAAAGCTGATGAATATTCTATTGAGATCCTCTCCTGGGACCTCCCCTAAAATCTCCACCCTTAAAAACCCTTAGGACCAAGGACCCAGTGGGCTCTCCCTCTGGGAGCACACCCACCCTTTTCCAATCTCCCTCCCATTCCCCCTCCAGATGCGTTCCCTTTAGCCCTCCCCTAAGCTCCAAGGGCCCTTCTTTCGCCTCTATAACTTGTTTCCTAAGCCCATTTCTTCTACCACTCACTTCTATCCCTGTGACTTTCTAAATAAACTTCCTCTTATAGCTTGAGTCTTGGCTCTGAATCCCTTCCTAGCCAGAACTCAAGTACTGAGGTTGCTGAACCCAGGTCCCATTTGGCTCCAACGGTCTAACACTTGGTGCCATCTTCACTGCTGTCAACAGGACCAGCTGCTAAGCTGTACCCATATTTGCTATGATGCATGAGGACAAAATGTGTCAACTTACTTCTCTGTGGCTCACAAATTCCCTGGGCATAACTCTGGAAGTCTTACGATTCCTGCTGTTCCCATGAGCCTACAGAGCCAGCTGGTATTTCAGGATGGATACAGTGACCCATACGGCTCTTATAGAAAATGGCTTGTGTCAAGTGCTCTAATGTCTGCCTCCCCTTTTCCTCAGAAACTACATAATTGTCTGGTTTCTCTACATTAATGAAGCAATTTTACTCTTAGACATTAGGGGAGAGAGGAGCCAGTTACTAATAACAAAGTACCAGCACAATCCAAGTGCTTTACACAATCTTTTTAACTCTGGCAACATCTCCGTAAATTAAAGTGCATCATTTTACAGTTGAGGAATCTGTAACTCAGAGGAATGAAAAACTTGCCTAAGGGCATCTACTTACAAAAGGCAGAGCTCAGTTTTGAACTCTGGCCCTTTCTACCCGCCCCCCCCACTACCTCTCTGGGTGCGGCAACTCCTGCTCTGAAGGTGATGCTGGCTAAGGTCACCAACCAACCTCAAGAACTAAAAAAAAGCCTCCCACAAAAATTAATTTTGAAACTGGAGTTGCCTTTACATCTTTATAGGGGTCACCCATCACCTTGGTCTGAGCCAGCCATGTTTATGTTCCGGCCACCCTATACTGAGCCACAGGTCATGGGAAAGAGCAGCAGCTGTGGAGCTCTTGGGCAACCCCCCAAAGTGGATTTGCTTGGAAGTTGGGAAACACTCCCTCCATGGGAGCCTGGAGGACTCTGAAAAGCAGAGCCACTCCAAGGTTCCACTCATACTATGACCCTTGTCTCAAATCCCCTTACAGGAGTTCCCAGTGCTTAGGAATCCTAAGAGGAAGCCAAAACACAACAGCGTTCGAAGGAGACTATGAGGGGAAAGACCTTTGTTTGGGATCCAGAGCAGAATCTAGGCATCGTGAGTGCTCCTTGGTGTGCCTCACCCTGCCCAGAATCCTACCCCGTCCGAAACATTGAGTAATGCCATGGCTCCTGCTGACTCCAAAATTATCCCAAGATTAGGGTTTTGTCTAGGAACCTACCAACTGGCTACTTCCCACATTCACACAGAGCACAGATCGGTTTCAGTTCCTTTCTCTGATCGCCCACCCTCTCAGCTCTGCTTTGTCCTACATTTCTCTGTTTTACCTACTCCCCATTCAATGCTAACAAAAAACAGTCAGTGTGAATATTTTAGGAGAATGCTCGGGCTGCTGACCAGCCATCACAGGGGACACGTGAACAGTTTTTATGTGAAACAAATCCAAAGAGACATGTCCACTGCACCGGGAGCCCTTCACCATACCTAGTTCACCTTCAAAAGTCAAGAAAATGACTGGTAGAGAAACAATGTCTTTCAAAGCTAAGCCTGACTGAAATACCAGCTGGGTGACTTGTAAAATATCATGATCCTCACAGGTACATTCTGTGCATGGAAGAGTAGGTGGGGAAAGAGAGTGTCAAACACCAGATTTTTAAGTTAAATCGTGAAAAAT